GACATTTGCCAGGGAAATCAAAGTAAGAAGACGCCGGTGTGGTACTTTGTTAAAGAAAAGTACAATTCCAAGAAACCGTGTCGCAGAGAAATACAGAAATACACAAAAACATCTATAATTCTTGTAACTTTAACTGAGTAGTTGAAATCGTAAATAATGGATACAAATGGATAGCGGGTAGTTTTACCCTCTATTAGCATTGCAACTGGAACGTTGATAGATATCGTGTATAAAATTGGTGACATTATTACCCAAAACCGATTAAACATATATTTCCACAAAATTTAATAAGAATCTTCAATAGCAAATCTTTCGATCCATCCTGTATTTGGAAGATTTGACAGGGAAGATCCACCAGCATCATCAGCGTGTCTTAAAGTATTACTCCTCTCCATTAATTATTTCTTATGAAACTTGTGAGACCGAGACACTTCACGCTCCCTGTAATTTCCAATGATTTTCTCCAGAAACGGAAACTTAGCTATAACGGAAATGAAACTGTTATTAAGACGGTTAAACGGTGACAATTGTGTTAGTTGGTTGCGCAGAAAGTACCCCTTTTCATTTGATACCTCGTTAGTGGGAATTATAATTTCTCATTTAAAGTTTCTGCTCGGTTTGAGGAGTTATTTGACGGCCCGTTTATTTTCTTTCATATCCTGGCGATTTGCAGAATTGTGCTTACCTCAAAAACAGAACCATTGAACGTTTAATGATATTTAAATGAAGTTCCTTTGTGACAAGTATGATAATACCTTAAGGCGATTAAAAAGTTTTTGAAATGTTATTTAAGTTATACATAAAGAATTAAAACGGTTTAACAAATTGTTACATTTTTTAATTATTTAAATTAATTTTTCAATTTAATGGAAATGATCTATTTTTTCAATATTTTTCAAAATTTATTTAAAAAACTATAAAACTATTAATTACAATTGAATGTTAATTTGTATGTGCAAATACAAATATGAGATTATGAGATGCTCAAATTATGAGATGTTCTGAGAACATCGCATTGCAAGCAGCAAATATTTGAATATAATATTTCACGCCTTTCTGCTCCGTCGAATGTATTTTTCAAATTATGTTAATTTTACTTCCCGCGAACGGTGATTCGAATTTTTATGATACTCCCGTTCAGGAAGCTGAAAGTTCGCGCGTGATCCGAATGGCCGCGGTATTGTAATCCACGTGTAGTCCTGAAATTATGGTTTAAGTTAAATTATGAACATTTTTCCTGCCAACATATTATTTCATTTTTATTCACCTCAATTCAGAACTAATATTTTCAATTGGATAGAATAAATCCAATTCAGACGTTTCAATTCAATATTTCACCGCCACTTTGCGTTAATTTTCTCATCGTTTCTTTTCCCCTTTCGATACAATCTTGAATAATCTAAAAGTAATATTAACGGAGGGTAGATTCTCCGCAAAGAAGTGAACAGACAAAAAGAGATAAATCGATTCGTGGTTGAATGGCAAAACCACGTTACGGGTCTCCTTTGTATTTATGCTCTTTAAAGCAACTGCTAGGTACCAACTAGTTCGAATTACTTACTTATCCTACTGAACAATACGATCCAGCGACTTGTTCGAAATATTGTACGAAATATAGTTCACGATGCCATCTTCGTCTACGATTGAATATAATTTTCAAACTTCAAAACTTTCGCTATTTATACAGAACTGCGTTTCTTAATATATTGCAGACTAATTCATTAACTTCAATATAAGCTTGAATGTTTCGAAATTATTCATTTAATTTTCAAAATGATGTATAAAATACAAGAGCTAATTTGTGATATTTCGTTCCTCATCAAATTGAATCAGATTTCATGAATTTGAAATCATTAGGATTTGCTACAACTAGCAACCACTAATTTTGCATTCAAAGGATTAACGAAGTTAGGCCAACCTCTAATTCGTTTTAATACAGAACATCAAAGCACAATACCAGTAAAACACCGGTACGAGAAAACAACTAAACTCGAATAATTATTGGTCGAACAGTTTTCTTCTTTCCAGGGATACAACTTCCGCATTACGTCTCCCGACGAGTTACGTTTGTTCCCTAAACTTGCCAAGAAAACACAAAAACTTTCTAACACTGGCTGGTGTTTCACTTACATTACTCTAAGTGTTTTTAGTTGAAAAGTAATTATCACGTACCCCTTTTAAGTGCGTTTAATATCACTCAAGAAATTTCCAGCTTAAACTTCACCAAACCTGCTACTTCATTACTGACTACGAGATGTAAAACTTTTGTGCACTTTTATCGTGACAAATAAACGAAAAAATTCGTTTGTGAAACGGAATACGATTTAAGAAAATTAATTTTATTTTATTAGGTATTTTGAAATGATTAAATATAAATTTTGATATCGTATATGCCAGTCATTTGAATTTAAGTACAAAGTCCTAGTATATAAAATGATGCTGAATATTAAAATCTCTGATCTTGTTCCTGTACTTGTATAGTTGAACAAAATAAATATAAATTGCTTCATTTTTTATAAAGGCAAGAGTATCATAGGAATTCTCATGAGTTGACGTTATTCGCGCGATGGAGAAGAGAGAAAAGAATCGTAACTCCATGATCCTTTAATGTGTGTAAATCTCTTTCGTAGTCTCTAACAATAAGTATTCATAGGAAATTTAACGAGGCAATTCAAAGTGTCGTTTGCTGGCAAAACGCCAATGGTACCCGCGGTGAAATCACGCCGATAAAAGAAATCCCGTTTTTATCAAGATGTAGTAATATCATTGAACAGGAAGCGCTTTCGCGCGCTAAGCCTGGACCGGAAGGAACCCTCTGCGTCGTTATCTCACCGCATTTCGACTTTCCAGCTGATTCTTGGGGAACAAAAATAAAGAAATTAAAAATAGGAAAGCTCAGCCAAAAATAATACAATATTTTGAATGACAAAAAATCCATGTTCCATTGTAATTTAAAAAAGAAAAGTTTATACGTTTCAGAAGGAAAATAGAATCAGCTGGAAGTCATATTTGAAACATGAAAAAATTATAGTTGTGAGTATTAGGTGGGACACGTATAAAATACTGAAGGAAGAGAATTTTTTTATTGCATCGTCCTAGAAAATTCGTTTTTTTCGCGTGGCAGAACATGAAAAGCTGTGAAATCCCGATTTATAACATTGCAACGCAGCACACGTCCCAGAAAAATATGACAAAGTAAAGATTTATTTTCAAACGCACTCTTAAAATCCTTAGTTCGCAAGACTTTTAAACGATACACTATTCGCGGAAAATTTATAACACCTTACATTATGAATATGAAACAATAACTCATCTGCTTCTATTTTTATTTTAACGTTTTCACTTCTGAATTTTCTTCTGAATTTTTTTTTGAATCTTTTGTTTTTAAACGTACAACTATAGTAAATTTGTTAATTTTCAATTAATTTTTCAATCCTTCATTTCAATATCTCATCGATCAAATTCCCGGTATATATTCCGAGCAAACATTGGTGATTTGTTGGGAACCAATGTCGGATATAAACCACATGCGAGATATTAATACTAATTACTCGATCGATTTGAAGCATAAATCTAATTACTGCGACGAATATCTGATGTCACAGTAACGATAAAGAAATATTTTGACCAACTGAGGTACAAGCATCGAATTTAGATGAAATATGTACCTCGGGTAAATTAGCAAAAAAATGTAAAAAATGGAGCTGCATCCTGTTTACTGTAAGTTCCTCCAATAGCGCAAATGGAGGCGGGGAGTTCAAAAGGTTCAGTCCCCCATCCCCCTTTAAAAAAATTAAAAATCTTCTTTTTTGATATCTTCGAAAATCTTATCTAGGGCTTCAATTGTAATTTACGCATACCTCGTTATTCGTTTAAGAAAGAAAAGAAGAAATCGCAGACGTTCGCGTTGCATCTAGGAAAGAACGAAACGAAATTCCTGTGAAAAATCTGAGCAAAAGGAATGCTCAGAACGTATCACCTTCAAGTACAGAAATTAAAACGTATCGATCGCAGATTCACGAGTGAACTCGGTTGTTTGTCGTCGAGCTTTACCGTAGACTTCTGAGGGCAAACTGTACCAGCATAATGGTCCATTACACGGGGACTTTCTTCAGCCCACAAAAGATATCAGCAATGTATTTCGTGAATAAAATAATATGAATTGAATGCCGTGGGGGTCAAAAAGGAAAAAAAAGAAAAATATTATTTTTCAAGTTGCTTAAAATGATACATGTTATTTTGATAAAAATGAATTCAAAAAGTGTCTTATTGTTTATTCATTAATGGAACTTTCTCTGAATATTGTATTATCAGTAGCTTCCCCTACGCATCAGTACATTAATTTCATTGGTGGAACTGATAATCGACCATTTTGCATAAAGATCGTTAATGAAAGGTGCATGTATGTAGTAATTTACATATGTGGCATATGTCATGAAATTGAGTCAGAATTTCACGAAACAAACTGTGACATCAAAAACAACTGCTTCGGTGTCCATTACTTTCTAAAATTGGCAGCCATCCATTTTGTATTGAAAACATTGACATATGTGTGTAGTAATTTTTAGAAAACTTCAGGTTTCAAATTGATGTACCATAAGTGTTCTTTCACGATACTTTTATGTCATCAAATCATTATTTAATACTTCTAATAAAAAGAGCCTATACATATTAATATTATTACAAAGCTTGACCTTTTCCTGAAGTCATGCCTTACTACAGATTTCCGGGAATAAAATGGTACCGGTATAATGGCCCATCAAAGATAGTTCTTTTCGCCAACCTCTTCGAAAAAAAAGATGTCAACAATGGTGGAACAAAAAAGTGGGTTCCGTGGCCGGAATCTACTCCCTGTACGGATTGCAACGTTCTTGAAAATTCATTTCCCTTGAAGTAGAACACGTCTATATCCGTAGCGTGCACAAAAAGAAACGAGCTCTACTCTCTTTGATCTTATTCACGAATTTCTTCGTTCATCCCCCGCACACGTACACACATACCTAATTTACGTTCCTCCGCTTCAACGCGTTTGCAGCTTTTCTCGTTGCTTTCGTGATCCTTTATTTCTACGCTGAAACATCTCTTGTATGTTGTTTACCAAAACAGCCGACAAATTTCTTCAAATTTTCTTCTGACGAGAAAAGTCATTAATTAAGAAACTCTTAATCGTTGCTCACTATTCGTGATGAATTGATTTTTCAATTATAATCAAAATCATAATTAATCTTAATTTATTCACTTACAGATATTGAGTTTCAATTGTATATTTTTATATTTAATATTTAAATTTCATATTCACGAACCACCTAATTTTTCACGTAATAAAAATTATTTGATGCAATAACAGTGTTATTCCTCAACACGGTACACGATATTTATATCCTTTTTAATTGTCACTTTTTTAAGAGTGAAACACGAACGGACACGCTGCAACCGTGCTTTCGGCACGGCGATCGCGCGCATACTGAAAATCCCAGTAACCACCCCCATTGACGGTCTCTCCCTTAACCGCCCCCGGATTCTAATACAGACACCACCGTGGGTGAGTGTGTTCAGTTGTGCATATATGTGACGGTTACGTGTGTAGGGTGCACATTCACACCCGGCTGATTCGTGAGTTACACGAAATTGTTGTCTTATCGGGAGCAATACAACCCTTCGTTTCACGGTGATACCGACCAAACGTACGATTCTAATGTTACCTCTCAAAGTATCAGGAATCGTGATCTGTATCTTGCTAATTAGATCAGAAAGCTATCCTTTTGAAATCCAAAAAGATTGTTATTGCTTTCTCCGGATAATTTTGACTATGTCAACCCTAAATTATTATCCCATGGAAGTGATGCTTTTTCGAATTTTATATTTCACTTTATACAAATTTGGATATTAGGAAATGATACCAAATAGTATATAGCAATAATTGTCCGATAGGAGGGGATGAAAAAGAATTTTTTTCATATTATACTTTATTAGTTTCATGATAATATTAACAATAAGTCTAATTTTCTTCATTTTCATTTATTCTCATACGGCGAGGGGGTATTATCATTTTTCCTAGAGAAGCCTACCGTGTTCAGTATTGTGCAATAATGTGAAATCATAATTTTTTATTTTAATTTTTATAATCAATGCCAACTTCGTGGAAACAAGTCTACCGTTTGATAACGCGTATCGTGTAACAACATTTCGAGTTTTCAGGGAAGGAAATTACATCAACGATAACGATAACTTTTAATTCTATATGAACTTTATAAAAATGCTTATCGGAACGTTTCAAGAAATTGCTCGAAAAACAATTGTTTCCGTATTGTTTCATTTAATTCAATAAAACTTGCAAGAATAGGAAATTTTGTTACATATATAATATGTATACCAAATGTTCACTGTTAATCAATGGTTTTACAATATTTTACAAAATAAAAAGGATAAAATGATAAATTTTCGTTCTATGCAAATTTTTAGAAAAATATAGCAAATATGTAAACTGAGAATTAGAAAATGAAGAATATTTATAAATTAGCTCTTCACAGAAATTGTACTACTATTGTGAAACCAAAGTACTACTTATCAAGATATCGTTATGTTGCAAGTGATAACTGACTAATATGTTCAAGTAGAAAAATGCACAACGAGTGTATATAAAGATTTGCAATCGCAGTCATGCTGAATGCAGTGTGTACTGTTAAGCGATACGGAAAAGACAGTGAATTTATTCGAATCAAAAAATGAAGGGTGAGTGTTCATATTAATTATTGACAAATAACTATTTTTGATCAACCTAATATTTTCGTATTGGAAAACTATAAATTTAATTTCGACAGGGTCAAATTTTATCCAGTTATTGCACTTGAAAATTAACATATTTTTTATTTAACCCTTACCTAGTCAAGATTAACCTCGTTTTCATTTATTTATAATTTAATACGAACATTTAAAAGAACTTACCTTAACAACCAACTATGAAATGTTCATATATTGCAGTGGTCTTCGATTATTATCTGGATAAGGGTTAGGAGATGTTGAACTTAGCAATTGAAAATTTGTAAGCATAACGTTAATGACATTTTCTTTTACACTTTTTAGGGGTATTTGAAATTCTTTTGACGGTGGTAGCCTTTCTACTTCTGGTGGTTAGTCTTGCTAATGCGGTTGTTTGCCCGCCAAAAAATGAGGCAGACGTTACTCTGCTTCCAAATCCAGATAATTGTCAAACATTCTATCTGTGCAACGATGGCATCCCGTATTTGATGCAGTGTCCGGGTGGGCTTGATTTCAACCCCAAAGAAAGAGTATGCGATTTACCCGAGCAAGCGAACTGTATATCATCTGTTGTAACAACTACTATATCAACACCGTCAGGATATGACGCAGACTTTGAAGCCAGTTCTGAAGACGAAGATTTTGGACTCTAAAATCTGAAGATTTAGTTTGATTAACTAAATTAGAATTGCAATGTAAGCGAAATGTGCATTAAAGTAGTCGATTATGTAGATTAAAAATTAAAAAGCATATCGTTCAATCCTTTTTATAAATTGAAAAATAATCCAGAAATTTCATCCAATTCCAAAACTTGTAACCAAGGTACACTATGTTTTTGTAATTTGCAATTTGCAGGGCTAGAGAAAAGGAAAGCTATATTTAAAAAAAAAATTTTTCCATTAACTTCTTTTCAACAATTCAAAATAGTTCTGAAGTATTAGTCTTCCAAGGTTAGATTCATCCTATAGAGTTTCATCTGGATTAGGAGACTTTATTTATATTCTAGGGTTAATTAATTAATTTCCAGAATATCAGATGACTAATAATGATATAATCTATTCTATTAAAATCGACAAGAATCATGATATGAATTGCGAAATTTTCCAAATGATGTCATCAAAATTTTCAACAAATTATCGTTATATCTCAAGTATTTCTTTATCGAGTAAGAATTTGTTAGCTATAAACACTTACAAACACTATTAATATATAGTTATAGTACACGATAAAGAACAAGATAATTAAATTTTTGTTTTATGTTCAGCTCTGTATAACTCATTTAATTTCTATTTATGATATAACACATTTTATGTCGCTTTTTCTGTATTTTAGAGAAACAAATAATTTGAATTGAAGTAATCGAAATTGAATTAAAATCTTAATATAAAAAATAGGTGAACAAGTTATAGTTATGCAAATGAAACAATAGGTATTATCGAAACATAGTTGTAGGATGATTCACTTCATCAGTTGGATTCAGATAACAAGTTCCATTGATAAATCGCGACATGATTTGATCATATTGGAGTTCAATCCTTAGAGATTCGAAGACGATTGAAAAGTAAAAATCCTTTAATTTTAACACTCTATCGCACTAATTAATTAATAATTAATAATTTTCATTATTAAGGCAGGTGGTGCATGAAAGATTTTCCAAGCTCAAAATAAAAAAGATATGTTGTATGAAAACTTTTAATTTATATCATGTGTAGATATAACATAAATGATATTTAAATTACTGATTTGACATACATATTACAACATTAAACACATTATGTATAGAAAAGTAGATTTAGGATACTTCTTAGTGGAAGAAAGCAGCAGATAGTTTTCCTACTTGTTCCCGTGATACTTCTCCCTGTTCTTCCTGGATTACTACCTCTTCTTCTCGAGATAGTTCTTCGTGAGACTCTACTGCATCTTGGATCTTGGCACCCGGGCAATTAATTTGAGGCCTGCATTTTACAATCCATGGCCAATCGCATTTCTTCGTGGCGTTGTTGAATTGAAGACCCACAGGGCATGGCATGGGAATATTTACAGGTGAGAAGCAGACGTAGTAAGCGCTGCAATTGCACGGGTGAGGAACAAGGAGTGGCCCATCTGAGTTTTGGTCGTATGGCGGGCAATTCACGGTTGGCGCTTGACCATATACGACGTAGGCCAAATATACGGCAATGGTGATGAAAAATAATCCTGAAAAATGTAAATATCAAATCTAATTACTCTTATATACCAGAATAAAAATGTTACTTGAACGAAACGCACGGTGGGAAGTTCTATTAAAACTTGAACCCTTTGCACTCGACATAAATGGGTATATTTTAAGGAAGAACTATTGAAAATAACTATTGAAATGATTTTGTTTAAGTGTAATAGTATTCGAAGATTTATTTTAGGTGGTAGTGATAAGTACAAGCACACGTTGCAAATATTTATTTAAAAATCGAATAATTAGAGTTATATTTATTATGATCTTTTCGTCTAATAAGTACTATATACTTTAAACATTTTTAACATTCAATGATTTTGAATTATTTCTTCCATTTGACTGCCTATTGTTTTAATTTCCCGTATTGTTTATTAATCAAATTATTAATTAAAATAGAGATGACAAAGAAAATATTATAAAGAAACAGTTATAAATTATATGAAATTTATGATGTGGAATATTGTGGAACAAACTTACCCTTCATTTTGTCTTCGAGAAATAGAACTTTCCAAAAATTCGTGTTAGCAGTTTGATCACGACTATTTAGCAGAATTGTCGATTCCCTTTATATAGTCAATCGACTGATTATTAAAATATCAGCCAATTTCGGTGGTGGCTAATTCTTCCACTTCCCTACCGTTCTTATCATTTCCATCACAATAGATATTTTTTATGTGTAAGTATGATTTTCGTGAAGAATTCGTATAATCCATCAATTTTCAATGTTTCAATAAGATATGAAATCTTATTGAAGAATTATCAGATCTAATGGCAAATATTACGTTTTTGGATTTTAGAAAAGAAAAGTAAAAATATAAAATAAAGCAAACATACCTATTAGAAATCAATTGTTTATTGTATTTTATTAAAAATTACAAATAAAGCAATCTATTAACTAAAACTTCGCAATATTAAAGTTAAAAGTATTTCGTTTAATATTTTACAGATATTTCTTTTATTAAAGATAGGGGATTGAAATTGCTCACAGTTGTTCTCTAGGCAAAAAGCATTATGTGGTATAAATATCAATCGAAATTGTTGCTGGGGTCGATTCACTTATTGAAAAGTTCAAAATGCATTATTGTACGGTCAAAAAGGATTGTAAAATATATTTAACAATGTTAGTTGTAATTTTGTAATTTAGTTGTAATAATTATCCATTATTAGTTTTGTTTCCAAAATATTAATACCTTCAATCATTAATATTCTATAGAATGTAGTTTAGAAACGGAAATTTCTTATAAATTTTATTTTGATTATGACAGATTTGTGAAGATAATAGAGACTTAGTTCGCCGCTGTGCTATCTTTTTCAGGTATTTATTATCGAATTCATGTTTAACACGAGAAATACATTTTGATGAAACACGTATTAAAAAGCATTAAAAGTAACGCGACATGTATTACTTTATACATCATAACGTGCCGATTGTATTGGATTATTAACAGATAACAAAAGCTCCGAATAAATTTTACGACGTAATAGATATAATACTATCAGTTAGTCATTCCGTAGTCATTCAGATATTACCATTTAAAATCAAAGTTGATATTGCGAACAATTTGATTTACTCAAATAGATTTTCATTAATTTTGGATTAAGTTTTGCTGAGGGTAGGTTAATCTAACGCATCATTTAATAACGTGAAAAATTAGGTATTAATAAACAATGCCATTTATTCAATTTTCTTTATATATACATATATATACAATAATACGAGAACAATTTAAGTTTTAAACAGATAAGTAAACAATCCGAATAAACAGAATTTTGAAAACTGTGAAGGAAAACGCATCTCGTCGAAGAGGTACACGCAGGTAACTCAAAAGTTTAATTAGAAATTGTTTCCAATACCAGTTTCAAATATAAAGCTAAACATATTGTACATAAGAAAGAGAGTATTTAAGGTGTAATTTCTTTGTTATTTAAATCATTTTGTGGACAAGCAGGGTTAAGGGTGCATTTTGCGCTCCATGGCCAGTCGCAGACCTGTGCCGTTGCATTGAAGTGAAGATTTGCAGGGCATGGCATAGACATTTGTAATACACCGTAGCAAACGTAGTAACTGTTGCATTTGCACGGGTGAGGAAGTAAAGTGAACTTGTCGTTCACGGGTTCCGGACACCTTATTTCAATGCTCTGAGAGTGTACGTAGACCACAATGACCGCGCAGACGATGAGAAATAGTCCTGAAAAATATAAACTAAGGTGAGGACTTGCAAGAAAGGAAATGAAATTTTTTAGTAAATAGTATGTGAGTGTGTACTAACAGGTATATCTTCATTATATAATATATTTCAGAGGTATGGGTCATAATTGACTCGACTTTTGCTATTCAACACTTAATGTTCGTATAATGTATTCATTTTTTTTTATCGTTATGAAAATATTCACTTTTTTTTTTATTACTTTCGTTCAAAGAAAGGAGGGCAATTTTATAAAATTTCTACAAAAGCGATTTATAATTACTGTGACGAGTAAAGTGATAATATTTCGCCAGGTATTAGACCAAAGTAAAAACAAATAGCACTGGTAGATGTTATGTCAATTTTCTGATAATATATTTATCAATTCTAAAATGGATTAAAAAATGTTGATTGTGAATTGATACTCATCCCAATTAATTTACCTTTCATTTTTGTATTCAGCTGATGGGGACTAGTCAAAATTCCAAATCACCGAATCAATCACGAGTGTGCTCGATAAAATCTTGGTTTCCTTATATATAGTGAATCGACCAATTAATTTCAGTCATCTACAAACATAAACTGTGTTCAATTCTGTGTATCTTCCTATTTCTTATCACCCTGCTCTGTGATAAATATTATTAATGTAGAAATACGATATATTGGCCATGAGATCAGAAAATGATCAATCGGCCCCAAGTATTTGAACAAGAATTTCGTATCTTTGAACAATTATCGTATCTAAAGGCATTTAGGAATCGGCCTGGATTTAAAAAAAAAAGAAACTTCGTGAACATAAAGTGTCTTTTGTGTTTAACACATTCCTTCATTTTGATAATTTATAACAAACAGAAAATTACAATATATTGAATGCATTATTTACGTTTCACTTTTATATCATTTTGCTTCAACGATAAGCAAAGTAAGGTGCAAGTAGGACCTAATGTCTCCTATGCACAAACCTAATTAAATTCTGTTATCTAAAACATTCTTAAAATTCGAAAATTCTAACAAATAAATAAAATCCCAATAACGGATTAAGTTTTCCGTATTTTGAGATATGAAATCTATTAGGCAGGTAGTAAGAGTAAGGCTAAAACCTTGATACAGTTTGGTAACAGATACACGTGTGAGAAAATTTAATCTGACGAGTCTTATCGTTACATTATCTAACTACGTTAGATTCGAAAAGTTAGAGATTTCTTTAGACCCTGAATTATCATTTATAATAATTATCTCTATATTTTAATGATTTCTCAACGGGTTTCTTCGATTACGTACATAGAGTGACCTTCAGATAGTACCTAAAGAGTTTACATAGAGATGACTATTCTACATTTCAAAGAAATCGAACGACAAGTTCATAGATTACCAAATCAATAGGCATTGTATTGAGACGTGCGATAAAATGATATTCGAAAACACGTGTTAGGGATGCCGAAAGCTAAGAGAGATTGCAGATAAATCGCTTCTTATCGCGAAATGGTAACTTAATTTTACACGTTCAGAATTATAGGATATATCATTGACAGCCAAGGTTCAATACAGTATAATTTATATATTCCTTACATTTTGTACATTACTTATTTTTATTTATATAAAAACAGTATATAAAAATACAAAAATTAGTTAAAAAAATAAAGTATCCTTATAAAACTACATAACAATAATTATAAAAATAATTTACAGTGTTTCAATACAATAATAAATATTAATTCTAGAAAAAAGTTTAAAGTTCTGCTTGGTCAGCATCGGTATCATTCAAAAGATCATTAATTCCAAGAGTAAAATCATTTTTTTTTGTATGAATATTTCGAAATTCATTGCTCTCGTTAAAAGCTCCTATTCTTTCATAAAGTGGAACATAAGATTCACTTATGCTAGGAAATTCATTTATAGATTCATCGGCAACCGCGTTACATTCAGTATGTTCTGTTTCATAACACTTTGTACTACTGTCTGCATTAAAATTTTCACTTCTTTCATTTTTACATACGTCTGCACCTTCCATGACATCGAATTTGAAAATTCTTTCTTTACATATATTGTCGATTATTTCCGACATGTTTAAATCATGATCATCATTATCGCTAACAAAATCATCAGGTGAGAGTTCATTAAACATTCTATCTAACGTATTATTTAACTTTGAATTTACTTTTTCTATTCGCAGTACTTTATTTAATTGAGGACCGCGTTTTATTCTAATATTTTCTTCTTGTTTTTCTTTGACTAAAGGTTTAGATCTTTTGGGAGTAATACTCATTCTTCCAAACGATTCTTCCAATGATAAACAACGATCTTTACCTATGAATTCATCAATCTTTCTATTGTTTTCTACGCTTATAGGGACTTTCTCAGTTTTCTTCTGGCGTCTTTTTGTTGCTTTATTTTTTATAATACCTCCCGAATCGACATTATTTTGTGCTTTATTTTTAGTTGTTCGTTTCTTTGTTTTCACATTTCTTGTATTTTCAAATATTTCAACTAACTCTGTATAACATTCTTTCGCAGCAGCTTGCGGTTCAATGCTTGTTAATTCAGATAAAATTTCTGTATCACTTGCATCATTATCTTTACTTAATGCTATATATTCTTTTAATTTTTCTATTACAGCGTGATCAGTTTTCCATATTATTTCATAACAAGCTACAGATCTAATATTTCGAATCTTTTTTATTTTCTCAGGTATAAATAAATCAGGTATTGACAACCGATGTTCAATAGAAATATTTGGGAGATATAACAGTTGCCAACGTGTCGCCAGGGGAAATATTTTTTCAAATGCATACTGTGGCTCCCAACATAAATGTCGTTCCACAAAGTCCTAATTAAAATTAAGTCATATTTAATAGTTAAAATAACAGTAAGAATTTTATATGAAAACTTACAATGAATTTATCAACTTGTGGTTGCTTCCACTGAATATCCAGTTTTGTAGGTACCGAATCTTTTCTAACAAGAAATTCATCTATCAATTCTTGTTTAGGAAAATCGGGAACAAGAAGTGCCTTCTTTCGTAATGAAATTTCATTCAGTATTAATGCTCTCTGTTCCCTAGAAAATATACGACGATAAATATCATACATTTTTGAGAAATGGTGTTCATAGTTGATGAAGACTTACTTGTACGAATTATTGCACTTTACCACGGTACCGCAGTCTATACAACCTGATTTTGTATGCTTTTGCACTTTGCCACTATGACCACAAGATGAACACATATTTGATGAAAGTAACTCTGATTCTTTATGATCTAAAATATCATCTGTTTTCCAGCTTTTTATCCTGCAGAAACCAGTAATAATTTTGTACATTATAAAACACATAACTAAGTTTATTACAAGTTGTACATTATACCGTTCAATGATATCTTGATCTTTTACAATTTTGAACAGTTTCATAGCAGCTTCCTTGCCTACTCCATTTAATCCCTCATCATAATCACATCCACATAATAAAGCCAATGCTATCATTTTATTTCTTCCTAAATCTAATATCTTTTCTATTTTGTCAATATTATACTCATCAACAGCACCACCTGTGCCCCCACGATTTCCTCGAGCACTTGCACAAAAGTTCCTGTAAACTACTTTTGCTCCATAAAGAAAGCAATCGCTATCTTGACTTATGCATCCATGAACAAGCTACAAAATAACTTACTAAAGTAAAAATTGAAGACTTTTATTTATTAAAGATGTGCAAATGCAAAAGCATACCCCATCTTCATTTAAATAAGCACACATTGCTTCTGCTTCGCCATGCCCTTGTACACATTTTAAACCCATGTAATTAAGCAACTCTTTGCATTCCTTAAGAATTCTATTAAACTGTGGTCTTCCTTCTTTGCGAGAAGTTTTTCTTTCTCTAACTCCATTACGGTTATCATTTCTTTTTGCAATTGTATTAAGTTTCAAATCTGGTGCTTTCCCTTCTAGCACAAAGACTGGTAGTATGTCTTGCATAAGAAGAAATGCTGTGCGAAAGTACAGGTTCCTGTAATAATAATTTATTTTTATCCAACTCTAATCTACTTCATACATAAAATGTGATACTGGTATACAAACCTCAGGTACATTTTTGGTTGAACATGATTATCAGTGACTGTTTGACTATCTACAACCCAACAACTCATGTCAATAGCTATTGTCTTCCCTTGAAGCTCAAACATTGGTTTTCTTTCGCATAGAGGCGACAAAATATTCCAAAGATCTTTTACTCCCATTTTTAGCAGTTTAAATCAAACGTTGTAAACAGTTTTCTACAGGAAATGCTCACTGCAATATACCTCAGCAAGTAGTGCCATTGAAAGAGAACATAAGTCCCTATAAAACGAACTTACAATTAGCGCTGAATATCCACTATCTTTCACATAACTCATAATGAGAGCATACGTTTTTGTTTTCGTAAAAAAAAGATCTAAATATGCATTCAATTTATCGAAAAATTATCGTTGAATTATACTTTTTTTTTAGTCATTTTACAAGACCAAATATATGAGAATAATTGAGAATAATTAAGACCCCATTTCCTCTTCAATACTGTGATAAGATTTCTAATCAGTATTTTCTTCTTTATTATCTTTGCGTTTCATGATAACACACTCATTAATTTCTAAAATGATATAACTGCATTTCTACTTATCAATTATTAAAAACATGTTACAGATTACGATAATTTAAACTTTTACAACAAATGCACAAGAATAGTTATTATAATCTAAGTCGTATAGTATATTGTTTCAAAAATAATCGAGTCCTTAACATTTAATTGATATATTGGTACATAACTTCGATTCTGCTTTATTTATTTAAAATATTAAATATCAAGATCTGAAGTTTTTAAATCCTATCACCAAAGGCCCATGTGGCAATCAACAAGCTAATTTTCTTAAAACAATCATTTTACTTCAAACACTTCAATTCGCATTGCTCGAAACTAATTATTTAGAAAAATGGAACAATTTTTCATTGAAGTGAATTATGGTCATGCTTGAATATAATATAAGATACATTTGTTAGACTTTTTTAATTGATGTATTATCTGTAAAATCGAATGGATAGCTTGCACAAAAAAACAAACGTGAATCAGTCTTGAGTAAAAAGCAAAAGAAACGAAAAATCGTAGTTGAAGTTGTCACCCCATCACTTATCGAGATATCATTATATTTTAATCGACAAGTGTTTAACTGATATGTGAAAAAAAGTACAACTGGGTAGTATATAAAGGAAGTTTCTAACTGCAGTCGCATAATTGCAATATCCATTGCAACTGGTGATACCAAGAGTTTGTGACTACGAAACAAGCGTCTTACAAAGTCAAAATGAAAGGTATGTTTTATGATTTTATTTATATTGCTTCGTTAGAATTTAGTGTTCAGTTAGAAACTTTAATATAGTACAGGAAAGATAGTATACAATTGAGATTTTTATTTGTAATAAAATATTTTTCTATCGCATCTAGTTGTACAGAGGGACATATTTAGAGACTTTTAGTTAAAGTATTGTTTAGTTTAGCAATTCAAAGTAATGTTAACAAGGACTGTTTTATAATTTTTAGCTACATTTGCAGTAGCATTTGCTGCTGTCTTCGTGACCTTTGCTTATGGCACCAGAAGGGTTCATTGCCCACCAGAAAATGATGTGGATGTTACTCTACTTCCAAATCCAGACGATTGCACCTCTTACTACTCTTGCAACCAGGGCATAGCATGGCCAATGTATTGCCCTGGCCGTCTTCATTTCAACGCTGAATTAAGAGTTTGCGATTCACCCGAACACGCAAAATGCGCATCGCCAAGTTTAAACATCGCCGCGGAAAAACATCGACCCACACCCCCAGGAACCCGACCCACACCCCCAGGAACACGACCACCACGTCCAGGAACACGACCACCTCGTCCAGGAACACGACCACCACGTCCAGGAACACGACCACCACACACAACAGTACCATCCACAACAGTACCACCCACAACAGTACCACCCACAACAGTACCACCCACAACAGAACTACCTACAACAGCATGGCCTACAGCAGTACCACCCACGACCGTGTAACAACTCCAAATCCAAAAGCATATTTCTAACATAATTTTAGATATTATGTGTATATGAGCATAATTCGATTACAATTCTTATTATTGGTACTACACCGTCTTTAATAAAATGTTCTAATAAATTCGATATCAATGAGTAATAAAGTTATACTTGCCAAGCATTTGAAAATGCACGTATTATTATTTGCTTTAAGCTTTTGTATAAATTGCAAGGCACAAGTAAAATAGTAAACATAATCGTAACATTGCGAGGTAAATCCTGCTTCGATCTTATTTACCGCTAGAAATAATTTAAGAACCAAAGATACGACAGTAATTGAGCGATTGAATTCACTAATCCTAATATATCAATTGCTTTTTTTCCTGATTTTATCTGACTTCATTGATAATGACTTAAAAATTTGGAAATTAATTGATGCTCCTAATTAATGATAGTAAAGTAGCACAATTCAAATTATTTATTAACAAACTCACTTTAAAGTTTTTATTAAAAAAGAAGTTCAGAAAATTGAGGGCTTTGGATAATAGAAGAGGAAGAGCTTTTTGTTAGGGAGAGACCGAACTGTTACGCGACAGGTTTTTTGAATCATTTACATTTTTCTTTTAATTATCATCCGATACGACATATCGATTGGTTAATCTGATGTAGTTCTCAAAATCATCGTTTCAAATCGTAGAGGGCGCAATAGAACAGCTAATAAAACTGAAGTTTGTCGCGACGTCGGTATTTCAGATCAGGAAATGAACTCTAATAACGTGATTGAAAGTTTAAAACAAGATGGGTATTGTAGGTAAAGTAAAAAATACATTATTCATTTTGTTCTTTTGTATTTATTATCTAAACGTTTGTTTTAGTATTAATGTTTTGAAGTACACGATTCTAAATTTCTACCGAAGGCGATGATTGGCCATCCCATTTCGACCAATCAGAATCGTCGTAGTCAGCCATGTGCGCAGGTCTGACTCATACGTCACTTCCCTCCATAACTTCGTCCTGAGTGTACGTGTTTGTGGAAAGTGAGAATAAATTGTATTAAAATATTATATTAAATTGTTTCCGTGATATAAAAAGTACGAGAAACAGAAGGAAAAGTTCAAGAGAAGTCCAGCTTCATGATGTCTGACATCAATTCTACATTGCCTTCAGAAATGAGTAAGCTGAAACTTTTCACTCTTGTCGCGAATGCAAATTGAGATTGAAATTGCATTATCCTTATTATCTTCCTTTTACAGCGATAATTCCTTAAACATTATTGAATTTTCTTATGTTCTTGGTACTTTTATCCATAATGTATTTCTTTTAACCTAACCATAATTTTTCGGTTTGTTGCAGATTACCTAATTCCTTGGATTTTACCAAGTTCCTGGACTTTCCTCGATAACATTTTTGATGACTTCACTCTTCCTCTGAGTATCAACCTGCTACCTGGTTGTTGGCATCCTCTTTCTTGACTGTCGGAAGAAGAGTATATCTGCGAACGGTGAGTCGCATGCTTTATGGTTCCTCCGGTGCCCAATCATGTCGTAGGACGAATGGTCCGAATCGACACAGGTTACTGGTTGTATACGTGGTTGGCGAGCATAGTGACCATGGGTATGATTATACTCATGAGTAGTAACATTTTTATTGTGTTTCATTTCATTTAGTTCAGGCTAGGTCTTCTTGTATTTCGCGTTTAAATATTATTTCTATTCCACATACTCCAATAGATATTTATGAAATATATGAATGCTTTTAAATGTTCATGATACAATTTTATAATAAAACGTGGAATATGAAATATTTTCAAATTAAGTAAATACAGAAACAATTTTATTTAGTTGCACCCGGGTGGAGTGATAGAAAATCGTGGAATGAATTCTTGTGAGAATGAGATTTTGTCACATTTTAAATATAGGGTTAGGCAGGTAGGTAGCTTACCTTCTGGTGTGTGTGATAGATTGTAAGTAGGTAGGGCCAGGGCAGGTTGTTACAGTCTTTTGGTCGGGTAGGCGCGTTTTCGTGTGATCAATCTGTACCTGGAATATATTTTAAGAATTGACGATACAATTAACGCGAAAGGAGTATGCCGTTCGCCTTCTATTCTATCTGTACAATTTTTCAAATTTATGGCGACGTTAGTCGTCAAACGCACAAGTTCTGCTCGAGCACGACACGTGTGCACGAACAACGACTTATATAAAGTCCTTTTTCATCCACGTGTCAATTAGAGTTTCGTGATTTTTCTCTTTTGTTGATTGTTTTTTTTTGGTTTTGCGAATTTGCAAGTCTCGAGCTTTAGATATAAGTTTCAGGTGGGTGGACCACCCGAAGAAAGAAAAGGCCATGTGCCGAAAAGCCCCGACAAACTGTCTTTCAAGAGGGGAACTACTAATGATTTCGCATCCTTTTGCAAAAGATGCGAAATCATTATCGTTACTACTTTGTCACTGTGCTCGCTTGTAGTTGTAGTTTTAGATTTTCAGGAGAAGAGGGGGCCCGTGATCCCCATGATTTTGGGCAAATCGCGTTTTGAATTTAGTGTTGCGTATGAATATCGATCACGGTTCAATTTAGTGTTTCGTACAAAAGATAATCGCGATTTTGGTTTAGTGTTGCAAACTTTAAATATCGCGTTTACTTTTTGCGTTGCTTTAATATAGAATTTTAATTCTAATTAAGTCTAATTTAATTCTAATAAGATAGAGTTTTGCTTTGTAATGTTGAATACTTTACTGTTGCGAGTATAAAGTTCACGGTTTGTTTCAGAATGACTTTTTTAAAATTTTAATTATGTTTCTGTTAAAAACGAGGTGCCCGCTAAATGAATTTAGTGGGTTTGACGCCGTCGGTAAATCGGTATAGTAGCGTAAGTAATATCAGAGAGGTATACCAGAGGACCTGTTTATTGCGCCCTCTATAACATATGTGCTTACGTGGACGTGGCGGTAGAGTTCAGTTATGTGTACTCTATGGTGAATTAAGTATTTTATGATTTAGAAATCTTTTGATGGCAGTAGTTTCAGGCGCGTGGTGCAAACGTCAGTGCAAACATGAGTGGTGCATCACGTAAAGTAAAAAATCCGTTGTTGACAGCAGCTGGTGAAGGTTTCCCTTTCGACAATTTTGCCGAAACTGCATTATTGGTGCCTGTCACTCCTGCTACACCTGCGGTACTCCGCGATGGTGAGTCTGTCAGCGAAACACCTGGGTGGGGCATTTGTATATAGGTTTATATTTTTTCTGATTTCATCAGCACGTGACAGAACCTATAAATAATAGCTATTATAATATTAATTGATTTCGTTCTTGTTTATTTGTCTGTTTCTTTTGTCTATCTTCGTACATTTGGAGGTAGCATCAGTATCTAATCAACCATCTGTGTATACATTCTGTTTATGTGATCAGCAATGAAGCAAACATTACACCTTTGGTGTTCATTTATCTTTTTATTAATCTTAAAATCATGAAACCATATAATTTTATTTATTGCATTTCATACTCTTATCCATAAAATAAATATGGATATTTGATCCATTTCTGTGACATTTTTTAAAATTGAATCTATATTACATTCCATATTGCGAAATACAGCAATGTACAAATCAAAGATATGTAGGTTTAACCAGTTTCATATAATTTGTCTCATGATTTCATAATAATTCACTAAATAAGTGTTAGGTTTTAGATTTTGTAATATTTATTTTATTATGTAATCTTTGGTAGATAAACGTTAATGTTTAGGCCACTATACATATAACAATTATATCTTTATTTTCTAAAATATATTTGTACAAAATACAAATGGAGGGTATAATTGCAGTCATATGTAATAATAAAAGTAATGTTAAAATTTAAGTATTTACATTTTCTATAAATATATGTGGTACAAATAAAATTTAATTATAATGTTAATCTAAATTATAAAGAATATTACATGTATAATTTAAATTTTGTTAGTAGAAATGAGGAATTAAAAGTTAGTTCTTTCAGCACTTGCTGGAGGTCTAGATCCATATCTTTGTGTATAAGGCAGATCAAGGCTCTTCTTTCTTCGAAAGCAGTATATTATTATAATAATGATCAAAATAATAAGTAATAAAGCTAACAGTGCTCCCACTGTAATAGCTGCTATCTGTGCTTCTGATAAGTTATTCCATGCTAGAAGAATAAATGTATGAGTGATCGTAATTGTAACTTACATTTGGAATATATCCATATGTTTATCAAAAGATTAAAGATTTGCATTAACCACTGTGGTAATAATATTAATATAAATTATTACCTGTAACATCTACTGTATAGGTGTTATAGTTATCTAGTAGATCTATAGCTGTAATTTTAGCACTTGTGTCACAACAGGTAGCAGAATAATAAAATGTTACAGGACTCCTTGTACCACTAATAAATTCTGTACGTGGATAAATATTCCTTGGAGATGAAATTACTCGCTTTAGACCTGTAATCAATAGATGGAACAAATGTTTTTATTTGTAAACACAAATTAAAAATTCTAGTTTATACCTGAATCATAGTCTTCAATTGTAACATCTATACTCCAGTGAGATTTATAGCAATGATCTTTTGCTAGTTTTCCAGCACAATTGTTATTGAATGAATATTCGATCTTTGGTTTAACATCATCAGTCAACTAAACATTGCAACATTTAATAATTAAATGAAAGAGATTTTTTAATATTTAAATAGATGTATTTATGATTACCTTCGAAACTGAACCTTGTACATATAGATATACTGATTTCTCCTTTATTTCTGTGCCCACAATAAAGAAAGTAACTGTGTTAGCTGTATCTGGTGCAGCATTATTAGGTACAATTAAATCCACTGCTACCTTACTCATTTGTCCAGGATAAATCCATGCACTGTAAATGTATAATAATAAATGAAGTATTATTGTATAATCAAATTTGATACAATATAAATAATTATAATGTTAGTTGGCAGCTCATCACTTACTAGAGGGGTTGAACATTGTATAGTTTAAAAGGTGTACTCTTTACTTGAAATGCATATCTAACTGGTAAAACACAGTTGTTCATTACATCAAAAACTATTCTGTGTATTGTTCCTGGTGTGACAAGTAAATTGCTGTTTCTGTTTACTTCTATGAGCATCTTTTTCTCTTCAATAGTATTTTGATTGGCATAATTTACCAGCTCTTCAGATAATTCATCATTGTCCAGGGTTTCTATTTTTCTCACAGATATATCAATATTGTTTGCCTTTAGTGGTTCACTGTTATCAATGTCGAGATTATCAACCGCATCGATTGAGGATCTTGCACGAATTTTTTCCTGTTCCTGTATTAATCAAGTAATTTTCAGTGAATAAATATTAGTAGTTTCTTTCATACTATTTGATTAATTCAAAAGATGTTTTAGGAAAAGATTGATGAATAAAATTACCTCGGTTGAAAACATTTTTTCAAATAATTTGTCACCATTATCGAATTTCTTCGGAATAGTTGCGTTTCCATCATCGTCCATAAAAGTAACATACTCGGCATAATTAATAAATTCATTATCAGTATTAGAAATAAACACCGATGATTCACTATTATTTGTTTCTTCCTTTGTTGCTTGTTCATTTTGTTCTTGGAGGAATGTTCGTCGTTTCAACGATCTTTCTCGAGTTATCTCTCTATCATCCACTAATTTAGAATTGTTTCTTGCGTCCAAATTACGTTGTTCAGCCTTAATTACTTCCGAATCGGTTGTCTAGAAGGATTAATTACGTGCTTGTCGTTGTTAAATTTTGTTTGTTCTTTGAAATATATTAAGAGGAATTTATTTTATTTATTATTTTAAGAATTCAATTTACTTTACCTTCAGGAAATCGTCGGATTTTTCTTCTATATTTAGAATCGGATCACGTTTAATATTTAAACGATGTGGTGTAATCGTTATTACGCCATTATTTCCTGAAAGAAAATTGTTCATTTGCCGCATAATTTGAATTCTTAATGATCGTCAATTTTTGTTGGGCAAAAAGGCATAAAAAGTGGAATCCAATTGCATAACACATGATGAGTCGCTATTAGTTCTCTATCAAAGCAATCAAAATGACTGGTTCCAGTAGCGAAATGATTAAAGAATCATTTTTTAAGGAAGTTTATTTGTAATGTTCTATATTTATAAAATGTTTAACACGTCATTTCAATAAATTTTGCGTAGTATGATTAATTAGAAAAATTCCTGAAGTCATAACAGTGAGACATAAGATGCTTTTGTAATAAACCATCATGACTATAAATATAGAGGAAATATGATTTCTGTTTGTTACAATATCAATGATATTTGCATCTCTATCGAATGCGTAACCCGTTCAATGGATATAAATATTTTGCTTCAGATTGTTGCCATTGAAAGCTCTTATCAGTGGAGAATTAAACCAAGTGCATTTACGTACGTAGATAGAGTCATCTTACTGAATAGAAGAAACTGTAAAATAACAGGTTGGATCTCATCGTACTAGAAACAATATAATTTTGAAACAAGACAAATACAATGATTTAAAAAGAAAGTTTCTGAACGTTTCAATACTAGTACTTGTGGGTCATGTGTCGAAACATGTTTTATCGCCAATTATTTAGATTACTTTTGTTGGTACAATTAATAGAATCTTTGGAGTAGAATGGGAAAGTATAGTGATAAGGTAATATTGCTACCACCTATTATACCATCAGTTTATCATTTATTCTACTATATTAACCCCTTGTTACACGAGTATAGTAAATAGATTTTTGCTACCAGCCTCTATGCTTAGTGTACTTTAGGTTCTAGCCTTAGAAGCCAATCTAGCTTCAAGGGTTCAGATCATTCAATCGTGATAGAGATCAGTAAATGGTTTCAAATAATGCAATGAAAAGTTATAATTCTATTCGACTGTATTTTGAGGAGTTCAGTTACCAATGTTACCGACCGAGTCTGGTCGAGGGGAATTCCCCTGACGGGGGTGCTCTGCTGCCATAGTGGGAGAGATCCACTCAGGCCGGGGCAAGGTTTGGACATCTCTGACCTAACGCTCCAGCTGTTGTTCTTAATCTGAACAGCAGAAAAATTGGCGAATCTTTATTCCTTCCTGAATCCCGCGTGCGTCAAGAGAACACGCGAGCTGGCGAGCAAAGGGCACGATCATAGCGGATTGCACAACAGCTCGTATCTTCGAGCCAGCAAGTGAGAACGGCTGGTTCTTTCGCCTAGCCAGTTGTCAGATGGACGACGCGGCGTCGGGAACACTGTGGAGAACGACGCGTGCATACTCGATGCCGTTTCGTCGACGATTCGCAAACCGAGTGTCCGTTATCCTTCGTTCATTTTTTCGCGATTAGTTACGTCTTGTTCGCGTCCATTGATTGCATCGAGGTAAGCTTTCGTTGTGTCACGAGCTACGGATCGATGAGTTGCCATTAAGAAACCAGGCTACACCAAGTGTATTGCACCTTGTATTGTTTCAGAGAAGTGTATGCATTTTTCTTTCTCTATGCACTTTCTGAACCTCTTTTAAATTTGTGTTGTGGAGGTCACCAGTGATTGATTCAAATTTGTACACTTTGGTATCATTGTTCAGAAAGTTGTATTATGGAAACTATCACTGACTGGTGATCCAAATTTTTGGTTGTATTATTAGGAAAGAAAATTTTATTATCACTATTACGTTATTAATGTAAAATGGTATGCTAATAGCAGAAATTAAAAAAATTATAGTATCCTTGATAATGGTCATTGTGGGGTCTTACTACGTACGTCCGTATTCACTGTGGCAGCCAACGTGTTGACCACAGTAGATACAGCCATATCTAGTACCGCAGATTATGTCATAAATTATTATAATTACACGTTGGCTATCATGATGGTCACTGGCGACAGGTGCTTTAAATTTTGATTAATAATTAATAAAAAAGATTGATTCTTTAATATAATACTTTAATTTGCTATTTCAGTAGAATTTAACTTAAAACTACCGTTTATATTTGCTTAATTAGTCATGGTGGCCAAAGTGTTAGGATATTTATCTACTGTAGCCTGGGTCAGCAAAGTATGGTCGATGGGCTAAATTCGGCTCGCCTTTTGTTTTTGTACGGTTCGTGACTTGAGAATAATTTCTGCAGTCTTAAAACAAATAATGAGATTGAAGTTTATGTTGACATTAAATAATTCTAATTTTATTTTTGGCTTCCATGTTTAAAGAGATCTAATATTTCATCTTTAAAAAAAATTTGTCAAAAGGAATATTAAAAGATTTTCTCTATCAAAAACAATTACGATGTACGGTATAGAATCTCTATACGAGAAGCAGTATGGTTTGAAACAGAATACTGCCTGTTGTTATATTTCCTTTGATTTTACCGCTTCTGAATGGGAACAGATGACTCCTATCAACATTTTTTTATTCTGGTAAAACAAAACGTATCACTCTTTGTTCTTTTGATGGATACGTTTATTGACATGTATGGTGTTCTATGTAGTATTGATAATTGAATTGTTATTGTCTTTCACGCGTGGAGATCTGACTTTTGATCGATACATTGAAAAGTATTATATATTGAACCCTTTACGTAAAAAATACTGTAAATCAAAATTCCACCTTAAGTATGAACAATTCAGGTTTCTAAACCCCCTATCGTTGACAAAAATGTTCACTTACCACTTATTCTCGGTGCCGGAGAAAACAGTTTGCCCGGAGGGTTCTCTTCGATGACGCCCTCAACCTGGAAGTGGTATTTCGCGTTATCATCCCCTACGAGTTTCATCCACCACTCGCCAGGTGGCGGGTTTCGTGTGTCGATTCTGACCCCATTCGCGTAGCCCTTGCGTGTCCAAGTGATCATTGTTTCACGACCGTTCCTCGAAGCTGTTGCATTAGTTAATTAAAAAACAAGAAATTCCGTGTACTTGTCTTTCTATCGTTAATATAAAAGCATGCAAACGTCATTTCCTGGGAGGATTATATTTATAGGAGAACAAATAGCGATGAACATTTCTGTGTGAAGGGTTGTTTGGTTAGATTTTCATGGTAAAAAGGATTGAAAGGAATTCTTCCAGATCATGGTGGGGTCGATACTCGTGAACGGTAGGCTATATGTGAAATTGTTGATGTACAGTGAGAGTAACATATTGGCTATCATACGTTTGTCATTTTTTATTGAGGAATTAGATTCGTTATTCGTGGAAATTAATGTCTGACGTGAAACAAGAGTGTGCGATAGTACAATATAAGGTAGGTGTGTATAATAAACTAATAAGGGAAGAATGGAAGGAAGATTAAAAAGAAATGACGAAACTTTATGAATATGTAGATGGCCTTTTGATTAACACGCAGTTCCTTTACTGGTGTTCGTTTTTAGCTTATGAGGATAGTAAACGCCCTTATAAAATATATAATAAAAACAATTTTTTTAATATTAAAACGAGAAACTTTTGTTTGTAAAATTTTTTCGGAGCAAAGAAAGAAAAGCGATGGAAGGTTTAAGGGTATTTTTATCCTCTTGGATTGAAAATTGCAGAGTTATAAAATTGTGTTGCAATTAGGAGAATATCCTCCGTATATTCACAAAGCTTTATAATTTTTGAAATTTTCAAATTTGGGATCTTTCCTTCTAATAATTAGAATCGCTGAATAATTATTATTTATTATCGTAGAGATACTAATAAGCATTTTTATTAAAACACGCGCACCTGCCTTACAATGAACGTATACGTGAAATTGTCTAGTGCTATAATTTCACCGGGCCAACCTACGTACCCCAGTGTCGAAAATTATTTTTAGTTTACGTTACACAGCGAACGTGGCCGTATTAGAAACGATAGAACTAAAGCACGTGGTTAGAGTTGCAACCTTCACCTATGCATTTGTTAATTCCTGTATCGATTAATTATAATCTATACAATCGATGCTTCGATTGATGTGTTAAATTCAACGAGAAATTTCACCAAATAGCATTCGCAATCACACTGGGGGTTTTTCAATAAATTTTATGACATTCAGTAGGCATATTTTCTAATATTTATCAAACTTATTTATAACTGAATAGGTCATTTTCTATGGAATAAACAACAGTTTCTATTTTTTTTTAATTAATGAAAAATTATTAGATATGATCCAGAAATTAAAATGTTGATCACTTCAACCAATGTTCTCCAATTTTTTAGAATATTTAATTAAAATTTTATGATCACTTACCAATTGGTACTCGAATCATAGCATTTGAAACATTCCCATCCACATTTATGATAATTCTGTTTATCACAGTATCCACCATAAACTTTATTTCAGTATGGTTATTTAAATTATATCTTTCCACTAATTTTACCTGGTAAAAGATAATGGACTTAATTAATATATCATTTTATATAATAAATTATACGTACAGAGGGTTGAAAATCGGGTTTGTTAACGTTTTTAGATATATTTTTCATATCATTCGTTGCAGTTCCTGTTTCAGTTGTGTTGCAATCCAGGTCAAGGTAAATCTAAAAGTATAAAGAAAATTGCGAATGCCTTTGGAGTGTTTGTACAAATTAAACTAAACTTTACCTGACATTTTCCGAGGCTGTTGTTCGAACCTTGCACATTTGTTTCTGGCATTAATCTTGACAGATCATTTGATAAAAGATCGCCTGAAATGTTTGTAATTAAAGTTTGATTTTATTTTTTTTTATATAGTAACAGTAGCAAATAAAAGTTTGTAGTTTTGTTATTGAATGTATTATTAGCTAAATATTATGTCTGTATCTGTGATTGATAGCCAAATCAGAAATTAGTGATGTAGACACAACGTTGCTGATACTTTATGTAAGATTCTCTATTTGTCGATGATAGCTAGAGTTAATTTTTTTTTTACAAACTTCTTTGACTTATCTTCAAGATTAGAATAGTTCGCTGCATTTTCAGCATTTCTTACCCGTTATATCTGTAATATTAACAGTCCAAAACAGATTTATATATTGAAAATCCTCGTCATCCTTGCCGGACCCATTTTTGATACAGTACCTTTGTATCAAAAGAATATACTAAAGTAAATTGCCACATGTTTTAACATTATTAATTTTACTTCGATTAAATTAAGTTTATATTTTAAAGGAATATCGAAAATTTTGAAGTATCCAAGTAGATATACCCTGTTAAATATCCTGAGTATCTATAAATACCTAGAGCATTCGTCCACCGAGAACAGCACAGTTCCTTCACCCTTATCTTCTCTGAACTTCTGAAAGAATTCATTATTGACCCAACCTCCTATCGAAACACCCTCGTAAGGTAATTCTCTTTGAAACTTCCAATCAAACGGTGGTGAGCCTTCTTCCACCGGCACATTTTCTTCCAAAAATTTCCACCTGTCCCTGGAATCTCTATCGATAGGATTTACAGGTGGGGTGGTAAGAAAGATCGCGGTACACTGAACGCGAACGATACTATAATAGATCACCGAATAGAAAAATAATGCTTGCGAATACATGACGAATGTTTCGGGAAGAATCTTAACGGGCGACTGGCAATAAAAATCGAGTTAAGTTACTTTATAAGGTTTCCGGGCTTGGTCGTTTACAAAAGGGTAATGTGTCCGTTCGAATGATAACACGACAGACAAAGTAAATCTAGGTGTAAACGTGCTTTCGTTGCACAATCGCAGGTGTTTGACGTGTACAGGATGTGATAGAGTGTATAGAAATCGAAGTAATTCGAGGTCTGTCAGGATGCCTAGCGCGATCGACACGAGTAAAAAGAGACACCAGCTTTATCTTTGTCATTTCAATGACTTACGTTCATTGTATCCTGTTCAATATTGACCGTTTCTGAATAATCCAGCTGACGTCTTTACGGTTATTAGGAACTATGAGACCTTTAACACCTTCCAATGTGGAGTGACATTTGTGATGAAACTTATATGGTGCTCCACAAAATTATATATTCACCTAATATTTTGAAATTTTAGTATTTCTATTCCTAAAATGTAGGAGTTATTTCTATATATTTTTTGGGGTGCAAAGAAATATGAGATTGGATTAATAACGTTCCTTTCTTATGGTTCATTAAATTATTTAAAATTCTTATATTCACGAATACAATAAATAACAGTGTATAAATTAAGTTTATAAATGTAAGTTTATGCCTGTAGGTAATAGAGTTTTAGGAATCTAGGTCATTTGTCCTAATGTCTTCTAAGAACTGAAGTGGAAGGAGATTTGTTTCTTAGAAAATGGATTTGGTGGTTTTTATGTCTACGTTTTTAGTAACCAGGTATGGATCAGAAGAAGCGTAATATTACGTCAATGACTACAAATGTGTCGCAATCATCTTGAAAGAAATCTATGTAATATTAGAAAAACAACAACAATTGTACTATTGCAATATGAACTGAGTGTAACCCGTTCACATTTGTTCAAAGCGAAACGAAATTCTTTGACGAAGGACTCGACTGATAATAAAAATTTCTGTATTAGATGCTGAATTGGACAGCTTCGTAGGGCAGGAACCAATCAATCAAAAGACTTCAACCGATGCAGAGAACGAATTCACACCTATTCCTTTGAATTCCGACGAGAACAAGAATTCAGTAAATCAGCCAGCAAAACAAGGATACTTTACATCTATCCTGTCTTCTTTGCCAAATTTGACTCTGTCGTCAATAACGGGTGATTCCCCAGGATCTCAGACGAATAGACAGCAAGAACACCAGAGTAGTAATCCTTATGTGCCTTCGCACGAACCTCGTGATTCTCTAAGAGACACGTCACCGCCAATAATTGCAAATTTTCACGATCCTCGACGTACGAATTTCGTGGGGTCCGCTGAAGGCAGTACCGGAAGTGTGTCAGCTCCTCCGCAACCGACCTTGCCGCCCACGCTTCCTTCGTCGACTAACGGTAAGTTTGTAAATTTCTAAACTTCCTGGTTAGAAACGTGTTGTTGACGCTGAAATTCTATGCAATAATAGTTTAGTATTTCACTTCCTCCTCGTTGGATTAGATTTATAATAAATGAGTCAACGTTGACGTTAAAATGTTAATTACGTTATGTTTGTCAAAGAAATTCAGATATGTGTATTCTGCTTACCAAAGATATTTTTTTTCTCTTAGAATTGACCATATCAATCGTTATCTAATCACTGAACAAATTATAGATTAATAATGACTGATTTAATGTCTTATTGTCTTATGATTTTTAATACGTTATTTGCGGGAGACGCTTAAACGCGTCTTTTGCATACTGTTGGTAGAGAGCGGGAGACGTTTAAAACGCGTTGTACAGTAAAAATTAAGCGTCAACCGTTGTGAGACGTGATCAATAGTTCCGACGTTATAGCTATTTTACGAGAAACGTAATTTCACGCACGAATCTGATAAAATTGCCCGTTTTATGTGGTGGACGCCCGAAAAGAATGTGTTAATAGCGTCTTAGGTTTTTTGCGAAAAAATGCATCGATTACGTTAACGAATGCAATGGACTTTGAACTTTGAATACAGTTTAAACGCACACGTATATGATACGTCTATACAAAGCGTTTTCTGTTAAAGACTAGAGGCGTTTATAACTTGTCAATTTTGTTATCTTTTGAATGACGTGTTTCTTCTACATATAGTATACATAGGAAAGCTGTAAATAAAAGCTAATGAATAAGTTTTTCATTTTTGAAAAAAAGATAGTCTTCTGTAAACACGTGGGATAAGAATGTTGAAATGATATGAACTCATTGATTTTCTTTTCTAGAAATAATTTCTTGTTTGAGTAGGAAATTTTCATCTTTGTATAAGTAGATTAGAATCTCCTGATAGCTTTTATTTCGATTAAAAAATTTTGTTTTGAATTGAAACATACTGCTTTAATCCTAGAACAGTAACGTGGTGTCACTGTTAAAGGAGAGAATTTATTTTTTCAGGACCTATTTCGTATCGATTGGGCAATCAACGACGTCTGAAATATGCGCCACCACCTGATTTAACTTCGAATACTTCCAAGCAGTATTCAACTCCAGTGGTACAGTCAGCATTCGTTCCTCAGAGTGTCGCGGTTCCGACTATATTTAATCCTAACCAAATCGGTTCTCCGTCTCAAACTTACGAGTCTGTTCCAACGACTCAAAATTACCAATCTGTGCCGTTGACTCAAACTTACCAGTCGGTTCCAGCGACTCAAAATCATCAACCGGTTCCATCGACTCAAAGTTTCCAGTCAACTATATCTACTCAAAGTTATAAATCAGTTTCACCCATCCAAAGTAATCAATCGATCCCTTCGACTGAAATTCAGCAGCCGGTACCATCGATTCAAGATTACCAATCTGTCCCGTTAATTCAAAGTACTCAACCAGTTTTATCGACTCAGAGTCACCAATCCGTGCCATTGATTCAAAATTACAAACCTGTGTCGTTGAGTCAAGGTAATCAGCCAGTTCAGTTAACTCAAAATAATCAATCCGTGCCGCTGACTCAAAGTTACCAGTCAATTACATCTACTGGAAGCTTTCAGCCAATTTCGTCGACTCAAAATTACCACTCGAATGCTTCTACTCAAAGTAGTAAATCGGTCTCGCCAACTTCAAGTAAACAGCCAACTCCATCGCCACAAAGTTATCAATCTGTATCATTGACTCAAACTTATCAATCAGTTTCATCTTCTCAAAGTAGTCAACCAATTTCGTCGACTCAGAGTCACCAACCTGTGCCATTGACTCAAAGTACTCAATTCATCAAACCATCAGTTACTACATATTCGCCATCGATACAACATTCAACTCCAGAACTATCCGAGTCAAATTCTCAGCAAGAATCGTTCAGAGCTAGTCCACTGACAACAGGATCGATTGACCCTTCCCGTAGAATATCTCAAAATCAAAATCCAGCCTGCGACAGCGTTTCCCTATCCGAGAAGCCACGTGTTTCTTTATCATCCTCTCAACCGATCTTCTCAGAATTTCCGGAACCCGCTACTCCTCAAAATACACCAGCCAACGTTTCCTTCTTCGGTTTCGATGGTTACACGAGTAAGCGAGATTCCTCAAGGACGCCCAACTTGGAGAAAGAAGCAAATAACAGCTCGACTCGGTCGGATTCGATTTTAAAACAGAACGTAACTCAATCCACCGCAGAAAAGAAACCTACCGTAACGTTCGGCCCAGTTTCTGCGGTTCAAGTTTCGGAAAAGTTAGAACACTTGTTGGCCGAACAGAAGGAGGATTTATCGACGAAACCTGACAGAAGTGAAGCGGAAGATCGAACTGTCGGAAGCCCTAGCGTTGTAAAGTCGGATAACATCAGGGAAAATAGTGATTCGCCAAAGGTAGACACGTTGAGTGACCCTATAGCGAGTCAGGAAGCATCGCGATCTAACTTGAGTCATCAAGAATCAAGTGGTGCACACGAAAAGATCGATGCATCGCAAAGTGATGGTGTTTCATCGCAACAGTACTTTCAGACACAGTCTTTCCCATCGAGTGCTGATTTCTTCGCAGACCAGAGATCAAATTTGAACACGTTTTCTGAGGCTTTAAATACGTTCACACCGCCTGCCAGCACGTTCTTCAACACGAATGTTGATTTATCGACAAGTTCTTTGAGAAACGATCTGCAGCAAGTGCCATTGACTACCTCTTTCGTTAGTCATCCACGAAATCCATGGGACAGTAATCAAGGGTCTATGGTGGAAACATGTAGTTCGTCGACTTCATCACCACAGCCACCTTTGTTTTATAACCCTGCGCAATTTCCCACCGAATTGCAGAAACATATATCCACGCATCAGTTCTATGGTTCACCGGTTGTGAATCAAACTCAAGGTTATTTTGATAATTTACCTGGATTAGTGAATACACAAGAAATACCAGGGGGAATCGGAAGTGCGTTCCTTCCTTCAGTTGTGATGACAACGGTGCCTGAACCCACTGGTTCGGCTACTTTGAGTCCAGTTCAAATGTCAATTAACCCGCTGGCTGGGCGGACCGGTACCGACGGTGTGCCTACTAGTTTTCAGAATTTGGTAAGATATCTAATTCAAATAATTGATCAATTTACGTTCTCCCAGCTTACCTACCTCAATTTATGCTGATTAATTCAGAATATCATAAAATAAATATATTAGGTACAGTTATTTTCACTGTGGCTGTCAGGTTATTAATCATTTTGTAATAGATTCTCATGGTCACCTAATGTTAAGATAGTCAGAAAATTATCAAAGTCTGCTTTAGAATGCATACACAAACAAATATAATTTATTATCATTTTTTATTCATTTACGAATAACGATCACTTCTGTACGCATGAATTTATGTAATAGTAATCGTTTCATAACGTTATTACATTTTTTAATTGTACAATTGATCTAATTAAAGCAGTGAAAGAAGGAATTAAAGAGTGAATGATAACTAACATGTTAGAAAATCTGATTTCTTCGTTTGCGTAATCGTAAAGTTATTACGTTCGAGAAAGTAAGAAATAAATTACTCTTGCGTAAAATAAGAATATTTTAGCTTTGCGTTAATGAATTTTAAACCATAGTTTTTTCCACCGTAACCAATAGAAACCGTGAATACCCATCGGTTCGTAATAAATTTCAGGCTGCTGGTCCGTCAGATAAACGTATGCAGTACAGATCGGTGTACCACCATTGGTTTTATCGCAAGGAGGTGGAACACAAAGTGTTATGGCTTCCTTTCTCCATGCGAGATAGCCTTCGCTTAGAAGAGGTTTATAATTCCACCGAAATCACCCCTGAAACGACGGTCGCCACCGACGGGGGTCGTTACGATGTTGACATTTTACGACGTCAAAGATCTCCTGTTTATTGGAGCGGAAAATCCACGGAAGTTAGACGATGTTCATGGTTCTACAAAGGACCAACAGAATCGAGATACGTTCCTTACGATGAGAGCACTGCCCTGAAACTCGAGGAAGAGTATAAACAAGCGTGTATAACGAATAATTGGAACCGAAGGATTGATCTAAACAATGGGGAATACATTATCTTCCATAGTGCCACGGTTCAGGTTCATTATTTGACACCTAGCTCTCAGGAATTAGTTGCATCCTGGGGCAATAGCACGGTAAATTTTTCTTCTAACTGTAATTTGAAAATTTTTGTTGTACCATCATCCAAGGGTTAATTATTTCTTTGCGTTTATCAATAATACCCATCAAATGTTAACTAATTATCGAAGTACTTCAGTTAAACACGCTTTTACTATTGTGTCTAATGCAAACTGCTTTTACAGTTAAGAAACATTTAATTTATAGCTTCAGTGAAACGCGTGTGCTTTAATATTAGCTTTAGAAATTTAGAATAATTTTTGACAAAAAAAAAAGAAATTCTAGATTTTATATTATATCCCGCTTATACGCATTCTTTTTTTTTCTTTCAATCACGCACGCATGGCTCTGTTGGAAATGTTCAATCCCAATTTGTACAGGGCTCAGAGGACAGTGCATATTTACAGGGTGCTGGTAGTAGACCCAGGGTGATTAAAAGAGGTATGGACGAGTTTCATATCGAAGACGGGGAACCTGAAAAAGTGGATCATCTTTTGTTCCTCGTTCACGGTATCGGAAGCGTTTGTGACTTGAAATTCCGAACCGTAGAAGAAGTTGGTACGTCCTAAATCAATAAAATAATATATAAATCTGAGCACTGATTGATTTTTCAAAAATTATAGTAAACTCTTATTAATGAATTAAAAAGAATTTTTTACTTTTGAAGAATTACATCAGTACTCAAGTTTACCAAACATTATTTAATATAATTTCACATCAGATTTAGTAATAAGGACAAATCGTATGATTACAGTGGATGAATTTCGAAGCATATCTTTGCAGTTAGTTCAATCCCATTACCGAACTGCCAGTGAACAGAGGGTCGTGAATCGGATAGAAGTTTTACCGATTTCTTGGCACACGACACTGCACTCTGAGGACACTGGAATTGACAAAAAGCTACAAGCAATTACATTAGAGAGTATACCAAAATTACGGCACTTCACCAACGATACATTACTAGACATACTTTTCTATACTAGTCCCGTGTACTGTCAAACTATCATGCAGACTGTTGGCATCGAGATAAATAGACTGTACACTCTTTTCCAAGAGAGAAATCCAGATTTCAATGGTGGAATTTATCTTGGTGGTCATTCGTTGGGTAGTTTGATTTTATTCGATCTTTTGTGCCATCAGACACCATTGCCTAAAGATAAATCGAACGAAGATAATCGGGAAGCTAACGAGGATCAAGTAAGGAAAAATAAATACTTATTTCAGGCTTTGTTAAAAAATTGCGACAAAAGATATAATAACACAATTTTGTGTTTTATTTCTGTTGCAGAAGAACGAGGAGACTGATCCATCTCAACCGTCGCCTAATCGAATTTTAAAACGGAGTCTTAGTAAAAAGATAAATTACGTGATGGGTGTTGCCGGGACTGGACAGCCTTATATAAATTATCCGCAATTAAATTTTCACCCACGTGCCTTTTTCGCTCTCGGTAGCCCTGTCGGTATGTTCGTGACGGTTCGAGGTATCGATATGCTTGGGGAAGATTTTATATTGCCAACGTGCCCAGCTTTTTTCAATATCTTTCATCCGTTCGATCCTGTTGCGTATAGAGTAGAAGCTCTGATCAATCCGGAAGCTAACAAATATCGGCCAATGTTAATTCCTCATCACAAAGGACGAAAGAGAATGCATTTGGGTAAGTAATCGGTGGGTTTATCGTCGTTTCTATTGGTCGAAATCATTTTCTCACTCAGCTATTTATAAAAATGAATGGAGTCGTAAAGCAATATCTTCAAAAAGGCGCATGAATTTGCTAAAATTATTTTCTTAATAATTGACCTGAATTTTAGAATTGAAAGAAACAATGGCTCGCGTTGGAGCGGATCTAAAGCAAAAAGTGATCGATTCCGTGAAGAACACATGGAATTCGGTTTATCAATTAGCCCTGTTCCATCGGCCCGATAACACTTTGCTCGAACGGGAAATTGACAAAGTTGTCGAAGAACAGTTGCAACAAACGCCACCGGTGACAGATCAACAAAATAACGACGACGGTGGTGCTGAGTTAAAAATCGGTAAATTGAACGGTGGTCGAAGAATAGATTACGTTCTTCAGGAAGCGCCGTTCGAATATATCAACGAATATATTTTTGCCTTGACAAGTCACGTGTGCTACTGGTTAGTAAAATTGTTTATATTATTTACGTCACGAAATACTGCCATTATATGATAAGCCATTTGTATTAAGAACGTCAACGAAAGGTGCATGTATATGGTCATTTACATCGTATTATACTTCAAGCTTTAAATTGATCCAGCGTAAGCTCATTTATGTCATGAAATTGTGCTAGACTTCCTATATTTCAAAATCACCCATTTGATATGCAGTAACCTAATAACCATAAACACATCACAGATTCACTTTAATGAAATAATTAAAGAAAGAAGAATAGATATTCAACTTTGCAAGTGTTTTGTTTGTACAGGGAGTCCGAGGACACAATGCTGATGATTTTGAAGGAAATATACGGTTCAGCTGGTATCCAAACAGACGCACAACTTCCTCAACAGACACTGTCGATAGAAAGGACGTCCCCTTCTATGTCTGTAGTGTCGTCTACCTCTTCAACTACCAAGTGTGAAATAAGGCCATCGGTGTCTCCCACGGGGATGGATCCCACCGCGCCTATAGCGGAAAAAACCGTCGGGCCACCGCCAAAGGCTGGTTTTGTACGAAAATCATGATTAACAAATGATCGTCCCAATTTGTAATTTATAAATCATGGTTACGGTGGGGGGACTTAACAGTTGTTGATCAGGTTGATGCTGGCCATTGTACCTGACGTTTGATGGACGATGAAAATCAAAAAATTTGTTTCTGTACAAAGGTTGCGTTAGGATATTCTATCGAAAATTTCGCCACACTCGATTGTTCCTTCGTACGGTGTTAATAATGATCGCTTAGGGCTATTTCAGAGTTTAGTCAACTATGAAAATTTTCGAGCACATCGCTTAAGGCGTTCAATTTGGGTTTTCAAAGAGGGTGTTCTAGGATGAAACATTGAAAGAGTGTAAACACACGTGATAAAAGAGGGGTGTTTTTAGATGAAAGTAAAGTTACGAAGATTAATCGTATTGTTTATTGTAAATATACAATTTATAAATGATTTATAAATGAGTCTAAAGTACATAGGATATATAAATTTTTTCAAAGACGCCCTTGCATTCTGAGAAGTTAGCTGTACGTTCTCATGTGTGCAAGACTTTTAATAAAATATGGTTATTCTTGTAGCAGGGAGACTTTATTATGTCGTACCCTTTCCTTTGTACATATATTCCTGTTCTTTTCTCTTGTTTAATATAAAAATTCTTCTATTAGGTACGATAGAAATTAAATTAACACATTTAATTATATTTTTTTGGGGGGTAGAAAGATTCATAAATATAAACATATTGAACTTGAAAAAAAAAATGTTTTCCAGTGGTTAAACTTCTTATCTTTGATTTCCTTTCTGGAACAGTTCCGTCGTAAACGTGTGGTAATCATAGGTCGGATCTTACATGTCCTTTTTAAAACCGTGCTACCACGTCCCGGGGGATCATCGAATGGCGTTAGCTTATCGTGCGAGCAGTTTTTAGTTAGCTGACATAAAAAAGAAAAAAAAAAAGAGAGCGGTTCGGCACATGCACGGGTATCACGAAACGCTAATTAATTGCGGTGCAAGCCCATAAGGTTGCTGCGGGGCTGTTTTGCATTTTGCGTGCAGTCCCTCGTAAAACTACATGCCTGTCAGCCCGGGCGAATTTCACGATGATTTATCGTCGCGGCAAAACTAAAGTTTTTCGCGATACTTCGTGGCTTCTCAGAGGCACAGGCACTGCCTTTGCACATGCAATTGTTGTACGGTTTTGCGTTTCTGAAACAGTTGAGTAGTTTTCGGTTCAGTTTTAACCCTGTTGCAATGAAACTAGGTAAAATAATATTTACATGACCTTATTTATCTTCCGGTTCTTCAAATCGGCAATTATATGCTGATCAAATTTATGGAACAGATAGTAATTAATTTAGATGAATTTTTTCAATTTTATAGTAATTTCTTAAATGAAGATTTCAAACTTTTGAGACAAATAATTTCTACTGAGGTCTTCTGTAAATTTGTAAAATTTGTAAATTATCAAATATTTCACATAAGTGTGTCAATTGTTTTATTCTGACTTATTGAACCATTGTTTCCTGTTCTCGTTTCTGGAATCTCATCAACTAAATTTCCCTCGTGAAACCTTTCTACCCGGTTTAACTATCGGTATTTATGACGGTTAATGGCCACTTTTCGTTGTAACTTCAACTTGGTTGCTCGAGATATTACGATTTTATGTTGCAAGGCCATTGTGAACGCAATCGTGTTAGTTTTTGCACCTTGCTGCATTTACCCTTCTATGTATCCTTTTGTTGCTGAAGTTTATTGAATCCACGTTGTTACGAGTTCATGTCTTTTCTTTTTAGCCCAACGGTAATACTTGTACTCCTTAATTCCTTGTTGAGTTGAGATTTGAGGCATGCTTTCCTATTTTTTATTTTTTTTATTTTATTTTTTTATTTTTTAAAATATCATGTATTTAATAGTCGTAGAATAATTCTATGACATTTATATAAACTTTTTATTCGAGTGTCGTTAATTAAATAGGAATTTTCAAACGTGAAACGCATAGCAGGTTTTTGTTCAGTAAACATTGAAAATAAACAAGATTTTAACCATTTCTGTTATTTTATACGTTGCAAATTGAATTTTGCGCAAAACTGACAGGAATTATTACTAAAAGGTTTGAATTTGAAAAAAAAATTGTGTGTGGATTTTAGTTTTTAATTAAATGACACAGGCAAGATTAGAACTGTTTTAAATTCATCTGCAAAAGATTGAATTTTAATCCTATGGATCAGTAGGAAACTGATCGTTGCATGAATTTTGGAAATTTGGATTTTTGCCTGTTCGATCCTTCAGATTGGACAGGCGATTTTTTGGCACATATCCATCTCGCGCTATTTTCCGGGATTACGAATCCGTTGTTCGTTTTACTTTATCAAGATTTGGCGATCAGATTCGAGTTTCAAATTAATCTTCAGCTTTTGGCCAGTGTACGCATTTATGACCCCGTTAACGTGGTTAACCATTCATTTCGAATAACGTGCTGACACTGATAACGAGTTCCCGAAATTGTCTGCCATTTGAAATGGGCCAGATATCGTGACACTGTTAGGTACCTTACGTTTTTCCAAAAATTGAGATTCGACTGAGGAATCTGTGGATACATTGCCATGTAGAAGAAACTATGTAGCAGTAATAGTGGTCAAATTTCAGCAGACTAATCTCAATTTTTATTCGAATTTTTATTTTAGTCTTCTACCAAAGATTTCATTAATTTATCTTCATTTACAAGACCTGGTACACCCATGGGAATTTTAAGAACGAATCACGCGTATGGTTTGATCTAATCGTTAGCAAAGCGTATCCATGCAATGCTTGGATTTTTAACCGTAGTAATTATTCCGGTAATTAACGCTGTCGGGTCATAAGTGTAGCACGCGGCTGGAAAGGGATTGCCCATCGGAGTTTATTACAAAGATAAACGAGCCGCGATCGTAACACACTCGTTCGCACTTTGTATTTTCCATACACACTCGCAATTTTCATCGATACTCGCCTGCAGCATTCCAGTTATTTCCACGGATGATACATGCCCCGAAAACTATATCGACCGTTTGTAAAGTGCGATAAGTTATCGGGAAATGGCACGATTAACGTGGACGGGTTTATTCAAAAATTACGTTCGATATCGAGTTTTAATTGATTCAAGTTCTGCTTTCCCAATGAATGATGATCCTCCTTCTGTTCAATTCAAAAATTTCATTTATCGATTCATGTCTTCAATCATTAGAATATCACCCAATTATCACAATCTCAAGTCAATGGAAAATAAATGTAAGGTAAGGTCTTGAACGACCCAGTATCCACTGTCGAATGTTGTCTGTAATATATTCTATGCTGGTTTGGCAGTATCTGATAAAAGAACCTGCCAATAAAAAAGTAATGCCTGGTAGTAGATTCAGATTATTTATCCTTGAATAACAAAAAGCCAGCATTCGAGAGAACCTAACAAGGTAAAGATACATTCTGTCCCGTTGGAGATTCGCCAAAATCACGACATCAATGTTCAAGGAACGTAACTAAATCTGTGATTGTTTCACAAACCTAGTCTTTGGATGCTTCTTCATATAAAACTAAAGTAACTGACACAGGAAGTGAACCTGTACTTTACTTGGCAAATGTTCATAAGAATGTCTAATGTCTTCCCTTGAATCTTTTAAAGGCGATAGATTGGGTACTACAACGTTACGCTGTTTCATTTCTGCCTTTCCGATATTAAATTCACGTTAACAGTTATCGTGATACCGGATGTTGACTTAAATCTCCAATGAAAATTTGAAATTAATTTGAAGAGCGTGTTTACCCGATGCAAATATTTTGATCATGAAACGTTTCTGATATTTGCTGCAATGTTTACAGGTTACTGAAATATACGAAGGTAAAACTGAAACAGAAGAAATTGAAACAGCAGAACGTGGAAAGTATACAATTAGAGAAAATTGAAATACAGGGAAATGGGAGAGAATGGAAAAGGGCAGGAGTGAAAGAAGTAAAAATATAGAGATAGAAATGTGAACGTATGAAAATGAAAAGGAAATAATAGAAGTATATTGCCAGGGAGAAAAACAGGAAAGTTTAATGTATAAATATTAGTTGTATCACGAAAACACTGAATCGCAATAATATTTTTCAATCTTTCATTTTTTTTTTTTCAACTCAGAAATGATCTGAAACTCTTGACCGGAAATGTAGTTGGTTCCAGACCCAGCATCGTTACGAAATTATGTACAAATAGGAACATAAGACAGAGAAGCGTTGTTAGAGATGGTAGGTTTTGGCGGTCGTATCAGCACTCGGCTGCCGAACAATAAAACGATAAATCAGAAGAACGGAAAAATAAGGGGCTAAAATAGAAAAAGGTTGTAGAGTAGATTTGGAGACGTTCCAGAGGAAGGTGCAGCCACAGTGGGTGACTTCGTGGCCTTTTGCGGCTGCTTCTTTGCTTGTCTCCAACTTTGTTTCGTTCCATTTTTTTTTTTTCATTTCCTTTTTGTTCCTCCTTGCACCTTCCTAATACTTACTTTCGCTGGATGTTTCTTTCTTTCCTGTTTTTCCTTTATTCCTTCTTCGCGCCAGCCTCTTTTCCTTCCTGTAGTTCCAACAACTCTTTTCCTCGTACCAGCCGGCACCTACATCCACGTTCATAGACCAACGATTCACCTCGTAAATCACGCGACGTGGATAGTTCATAAATAAAAGTCCTCGTGACGCTTCGAGTAACGTCTTGCCGGCTTCAAAGCGCTATCCTTTTAATGTCTGCTCCTTCTTTATTTTCGTCATCTTCTTATCCCTCAGCGGTTTCTAGCTTTTCCTTGTTCTTTGACTCGAGGAAAGTGTTTCCTTCAATGTTTGAAAGGATTGTAAGATATTTGAAAGCAACATTGAACTTAGAGGATTCTTGTTTCCCTTTGTTACGTTCAGCTGTTTTATTGCTTCGGTTATGTTATTTAAGAATTTATTATTTTGAATATTTTTAGTTTATTGAATGAAGGGTTGAATTTAAATTTAAAAGGGTTAAAGTTAAATTTAGTTTAGCAGCAGGTATTTTATATGAAATACACTTTTAGTAATAATAAGTTCCTTGCAATTTTTCGTATATTTTTGACACAATTTTCCACGTCAACTCTGTTCGTTCGAAATTAAATTTTCTCATCCGTAACAATAGCGTGATTAAGAATTCTGTCCCACTAATTAATTGCACCGCCTCTACAACGCGATTAAACAGTGTTCATTTAAAATTCTATCAAACCGTGGCGCGATGTCGATAATAAAATACGATAACGAGAAGTTTGTAAAATAAATCAAGGTTGGATGCGTTAGGCGCAATCACGTTAAAACTTTCATCTAGAGCTATAAACGTGACACGGGGTTAATTTGTACAGCTCTGAATTATATTTTTTCATTCGATTTAGTGTGCGTTAATGTAACGGTAAAGTTAATAACGATCCACCGTTACAAATGGTCGAGTGCTCTTGTTGTTAATTAGTAGATTAATTAGAGCGATCGTCAAATAGTGGCGCTCGGTTAACGATATAAATTCGACAACGTAGAATGGAATTATATTTCATTTGTACCCGCTTAATCAGGTATACAATGAAGCAGAAACGTGTCAATTAGCAGGTGTATCTTTTCAGGTTCCATTAATTAACTGGGGCACAAAAAATGTTGTTTCTGTGATACAGTTTCTGGTTGTACCTATTTAAATATAATTTCCCTCGAGAATTACCTTATCACGTGTATAGTAATTATGAAACTTTATTAATTGTTAGATTGTCTGGAATAATTACCACTTTGAATAAAAAGTGGGTAGAAAATTTGCAAATTTGTTTTGCTATTAATAGTTGGTTTCTTTTTATTTTGATACAACCTTTTTGAAACGCCCTGTATACACGTGATCATAAATAACGAAGAAACCGAATGAAGAAGGAAAAATGAGGGCATCAAGAAAGTTGTTAGGTCAATGTTCGAGAATCAAGTTTGGAACATCGACTTTCTTCTTCAGCAAACAGGTTCGGACGTTCAAGTTTATCTTAGCCTTGAAGAATCAATGTTATCTGGAAATCAAATCATCGCATGTCACTATTTTATTAGTATCTTCAAAATATTCTTCACTGTAGACGAAGTTTCTAGTCTTTCAATTCAATAACACCAAAGTGTACATCATTTCGTTTTATTTCTATCATTATTAGACATCTAATTAGTAAACTCAGGAAACAGAAGAAAGTCAGGGAATAAATCATCATTTTATGATCAATTGGTACGTTACACACGCTCCAAATACATTTCTACGATGAGATTGTTCTAAACAATTTCATACGATGGTGAATTAGATATTTTTTTCATAGAAAATCCATTTCTCATGTCAGAAGTTTTCAGATCGTTTCATCAGGGTCTATATTACATGAAAAATTACAGGAAAGTCGTAAAATAGAATTATTCTACCTGAAAATATTAATTGATTGAAAAATCTATTGATTATTTCCATCTGTTATAATAAATATTTTATTCAGCAAAGAAGAAATCTACATATCATTTTCGGGGGATGAGAGATTTCATCGAACCAAATATCTCATACCACATGATTCATCTAACCAGGATCTTTCGATTTCAGGTATCCCTGAGCAAAGTGTCCGGGGTCACGGATAAAGGGGGATGCAGTTCCTGATAGGATACAGGATACGGGAACGCAGTTTCGCCAGTGCGGCCGGGGTTCAGGTTTCCAGAGGGAAAGGGGAAGACGGTCGAGGGCCTTTTCCCTTTTCCTGGAATTTTATCTGTCTGCCGGGAGGATACCTTCTCCCGTTCAGGGCACCAGAGGACGAGGCTGTAATACCGGCAGGTCTAAGATAAGAGAAGACGCGGGCAGGGAGAGGAGTTCGTCCGTCACTACGGCGAAATTCCGTCCGCAATCTCTGTAGGAATCTTTGGTATTTCAGTAGCGAATCGGTGTGTAAGTACAACCCTCCGGTGTACAGGCTTACTTCTCTTAGCTGGCAGCCTCGTGAACTTCGTGAAAGACGCGCGAGAAGGTTAGCCGGATGTGCTTTGTCCGGATAGACAGGAAGGTAAGGAGAAAAAAAAAGGACCATGATGTTTTTGTCGGACGTAAGGATAGGGATAGGGTGGACCGATTGATAAAATAATTGTTTCTTAGAGAAATTCTTTTTCAGCGTTTTCGTCCCTTCAGGGTTGTGATATTGGGTTGATGCATAAATCATTATCCTTATTTGTTAATCTATTGGGTGTTTGTAAAAATCCCAGCTGTTTGGTATAATTAGACTATCATATTCATCAGATAAGACAGGAAGTCATCCTTGATGAATGGTTTAATCAGGTTTCGTGCTATCGTATAGCTGATAATATTTTCAAATTGATCATTTCAAATCTTGATTTTTCTCAGTTATGCCCTTTCCCGCCTTTTTTTTCTCTTCTTCGCTGAATTCATGTTCATCCACATCCCTCTCCCTTATTCCGTTTTCACGGGACACCGAACCTCTCGTCGTCCTTGAGTGACGCGGAAATTAAACGAGCGACCTACATTGCCAAAAATCTGACGTTTAATAAAGAGCAAGCGATACCTTTCAACCAGCCACCGGCTGCCCGTACCAGTTGGATTTGAATTAATTCGCTGGATATTGCGAGCCGCATACTACTGGCTCCGATAAGAACTTGAATCGATTGCTTGTATTCGAGGAAATTAGTTGTGGTCCTTTCGTGACTCTTCATGTTGTTTCGTGTAAATTGCTGTTGTTATAAATTCTGAAAGAGTTTTTGTCTTCTTTTCGACTCTTTCGCTACATATTTATTAATCGCTATCAGTTCTGAATATCATGAAAAAGTGTATTAATAAATCATAATTCGATACACAGTTTAGCATACATATGAAAAGGAAAATAGAATATGTTACACCATTTTTGGTACAAGGGATTGAACATTAAATATCATAAAATGTTGCAAATTATAAAAAATATGATATAATTGAAAATGAAATACGAGAACCACGTTTAAACGAAATATGTCTCATGTTCAGCAATTTAAAAATCTGAAAAGAAAGAAAATTAAAAAAAAATCCGGCGTTTCTGAAGCGTTGCAATATGAATTAATGAATCTTATGCGGTAACGAGCAAACTTCCGCGCATGGAGGCTCATTTTATTTGATTAAATAAGTTTAAAGTCGGTATTGCAAGACGTACATAGTTTACATCGTCTTTCTGTTGAAATATTCATCAGGCAAAAGAAAGGTGACGCTTGTGTACGTTGCTGAACTTCCTGACCTAATACATTCTTGAACTTTGTGCTTCTACTTTTTACCCGACACTAGCTTTGCAACTTTTCTACTCGTAGTCTAACCAGGTGGCCAGTATTTTTTTCCCCTTCTTCATAGTTCAAGAGGACAGAACGTGTTTTGCTTGACTTCCAAATTAATATATCATAAAGTCTACTTTCTGGAATTACTCTTTCCCCAGTTGAGAAGGAGGAACGCTTTCTCTTGAATTTTATTAGTTTAGAAACGACACCTTCCTCTTTTTTTTCATTTTAATACAAGCGTAGGTTTTCATTCCTTATTCGCACCTGAATTTCATAAATTTTTTAATCATGAATGCTTGATTATAAATTGTGACTGGCTCTGCAAAAAAATAACTTATTTTTTATTCATCCATTCTGCTATTTCTTTTTACCATTTGGGAGAAAGAAATTTTTCTTGAATTTTACAATTGAAGGAATGATACCTCTGCTTTTTGTTTTCGAGTAATTAGCTTTCAAATAGTGTAGTATTGTTGTAAGTAATCAATTATGTCGCGTGACTCATGTGTTACATCACGGAATCAAATTTTTCCAAATAAGAAGATTAAAATAGAGAAATATCCGGATGTAGTTTAGAGCATGAGAGACCGACCGCAGTGAGGTAAGTCACTTTCTCCTAGAATCGTTCTTCATCTTCGTGAAATGACATCGACTTCTTTCGACATGAAACAATCAATTTTGTGGTTTGAGGACTTCGAATTTATTTATTTCCTTTCTTCCATTCACTATTCGTGGGAATCTTCATTAATCTCTTAATGTACTTATTAAATGCAAATGAACAACGGCTTACTTATCAACAGAATTCTAAGTAATTGTACCTGATGACTTTAATTAAAAATAGAAACTTTTAATTCCACAATATCATTTCATTTCATAAATGATACTCAATATTCTTAGGAAAATTAAAATTTAATTATTTTTGTTTTACTTTTGACCATTTATTTTATCCTTTTGGTATCAAAACTCAATAATATTTCATAATATATAAATAGTATTACATTTTTAACAATTCATCAATAACTGCAATCATAAGGTATCGATATCTGGAAATATTTTAGATCTAAGATATCCGATGAACAATTAGTAGTTCTACCGGTATCGTATAGAAATATATATTTGCATGAGCAATCGCAATCTAGTTACCACATATCCGGCAAATAAGCATAAATAAAGGATCATTACGTCAGCAGCGATCGTTAAACCAAACACGTTCGTGCATTGATCTGCTCGTTACAGGAACGTGAACCTGATTTCACGCTTCGTATCATCTAGTAACGGAAGGGTGGAGGAATCTGGACTGTCTGGTTACGGTTACGATCAGTTAGGCCTTCTACCGCGTGTGACAGCTCGACACCTTGGCCTTATGCCCTTCTATCTCGTTACGTAGTCATGACACTGGCTGATCACATTCGAATTCACTTGCGAAACTTGCGCCAGCAACTCAGTTCATTTCCGAACTCAGATCCATTGCCGAACAGTCTCTTATGTCGCTGCATATTACAAATGACTGATTTCGAAACATCGAAATTCTGATTAGCATTTCACGACAGAAGAGCATTGCGAAATATAAATTTTCAATTCAATATATTGAAGAAAATAGCCCTCTAACATAAACTTAACTAAATGTAGGCAACATCCGTTTGAGAATATAACAAAAATGTCCGGAAATTATATTCAAAAGATATTCATATATGTGGGCCATGAACGAGCCCGAGGGTGTATGTCAGAATTCTCGTTTCGTTAGTGAATGGTGTCCTTTCCAATAAGAAAGTGGTCCCAATACGTGATCCCTGTAGCGACGACTTGATTTTGGAAATTGTTACACGAATGTTAATCAAGTAAATTCGTTTAAAGAAAGCTTCACTAGTGAACTTTTTTTCATCAGGATCTTTGCAAATATTGATTGCGCCGATAGAACACGATGTTTTGTAAGAGGAAGACACGCAATATTTTGTATTCGTTACATAAATCTTTCGCTAATATTTGCTGACTCGGTTAATACTTCTTTGTTTGAAGAATATCGTAATACAAGGGTGATAAGGAAGAATGTTTATCTTTGTTACATAAGGCTTTTAGTGAAATTTCTACTTTTTTTTAGAACTAAAAATAGCTATAACTTTGGATGAAATACAGCATTTTTCATCTTCTTTATAAATGAATTTAGTAGAAATGTAATTACAGAATGTAGGTAGTGGCAAATAAGTATATACAAGTAGTTGTATAATAATTTATAATACGAAGAGTCTTGAACAAATATTCATTCTCTTTTTTCACTTATATGTTACCAAATGTCTATTACACATGTAGTTACTTCAAATATTTGAAGTGAAAGTAGGATAAACGGGAAGATATCTATACACTAGTGACTAGACTTTACAAGTTCCGGAAAGATTTCTTATCTTATCTATAAACATCCTGTTAGAATTCTTTCGAAGTCTAAATCATTTAACTCTTTTCTCTCTAGTTCGTTACAAATAACTATATGTGTATTTAAGGATGATTAATTCTCTCCTTTTTTGTCCATAACAAATATTGATAGTATTTCTACTACGCCGATATAACGTGCAATATATTTTTTCATAAAAGTATAAAATACTCACTTGACTGTGCTCGAAAAACAATGATTTTAATTGTTTTAAATGAAAACGGTCGAACAAGTTGATACGATTGATATGTTGAATCACAGTTGTGTGACATCACGCGTCAAAAAATTCCGGAAGTTATTGGTCATTCGAAAAAAGGCTACCTGAAACAAATTTCCTCTTGGTAGCCCTGTACATGATGCAACTAGGAAAATTTCTCTTCATACGTGATTCTATGAATGCACTTTCAAATCTAGAGTCCTAATGTGCTCGAACGAGCTAGCGCATCAGATATTAACGATTCGTTACTCGTTTTTATCGAAAGCAACAATCGACGTTAACATAAAAAGAATACTAAATCGATTTACCTTTATGATGCGCATCGCTTGATATATTCAAAAGGAGATCTTAATAATAACATGTTTATAAAAATGTGATAATATGTCGACTGCCACAGTAAAAATGTTGAAATTGAAATTATTGTGGATTAATCTTAAAGTGATTAACTTTTTTGCTATTACAGGTGTTCTAAAGTTCTACATTTCAAAATAGCGAAGATACTATTGAAATTTTGAAATAGAAATTGCATACAAAAACTCATATGGTAAAAATATGGTAACAAAATAACTTGTATATTAAACAATTTAATATATAAAGATACAGAATCATTTTCTATCAAAGATGGTCGTAGCAAAGATGTTAGGAATAAAGATAAAAAAAAAAAAGAGAAGAGCAGAATCACACGTATCGAATCAGGCTGGAACGTAGAAATCGTTTGAATTAATGGTAAACAAGGATGGTGGCCGAAAAGCATGGGTAAAGGCCAAGCCGATCGATCGTCAGCCTGTACGTGACAGTTTATTCAGCCAAATCGAGTACACACCATTCTTATTCAACGAACACGCGGTCCGTGCGCCAGGCTCGAACTTAATTACACCGCGATGAGCATTTACAACGCAACAGTCTCGGGCATTTGTCTCGCTTCTCGTCGCTTCTAACGACAAATTGCGAATTGCATTCGGAACGAATTCATTTGGACCACGTCCGGAATGGTGAAGGTTTCTCGTGCCAAGGTACCCTATCAACCCCTCTTCCTCTAACCTCTGGTCAGACCGTAGGTGTCCTCTTCCCGCCAATGACCCACGCTGTTCTCTTTCTTCGCTGTTTCCTTTCCGAGC